AGGGGGGGGGGGGGGGGGGGGGGGGGGGGGGAGATGGGATAGTTCACAACTCAGAAGGATCTTGAGAGTATTCTTGAAACCGTTTGAGAGGCCTGGTGCAAACTTGACATAACCAGGCAGTGATCGACTTGGTGACCTGTACATTTCAGTCTTTTTGTTCTACGAAAAAGGGAATTCAAGTAGCACTTTCGGGCTGGAATTTAGAGTGCATGGCAGCTGTATATGTGCCTGAACCTTACCTTAGCTAACTCCCCATAAATCTTGAAGCGCTTGTAACTATGAACCTGGTAGGTGTTCAAGAAATTGCTTCCCTATCGGCGAATCTTCGTTCGGGAACCAACATCAACCACCCTGAAGGGAGCTCTGGTACTCGTAGGAGAACACCAACCTCAGAAAAATTTTAATAAAAGTATTCTATTTTACAAATCAATTCTCTTGAAATTCAGACCGGTTGTGATGCTACGGACGTCTTCGAAAGTGTCGGGCATTCGATTGCTGCTCGTATGCTGGTCGAAAAGTACAAGATCGGCGTCTTACCTGAACACGAGCAAACCCACACCACTCAGTACATTTCTGAGGCTAAAGTTAGTATTAGTGACCAGCTTATCTTTTAAAAAAATATTTCAATTTTTAACGACCAAATAATGTTTTTCTCTTCCAAGCGTTCTCTCTTTTAAGAATTGAGAGATGTGTCTTCAATGACCACCTTACCCAATTTGTAACGGAGAGAGTTGTATAGGATGAAAATGAGGTACTAATCGAGGTAGACATGATTGGACGCGTGCGGCTGCGAAACGACTTTCGTTTGAATTTATGTAGTGGGAGGTGTTATCGAGCGGGTTTACACATCTCATAACCTGATGCGCTGATTTTATTCGAAGTATATGAAGCAGAGGCCAGTGAAAGGGGGAGGGAGGGAGTAATGTAGTAGTCAATCGAGATAAGACGCGTGCGGCTACGGCGCGGCTCTCTCAGTAATCCTTGCACTCAAACGTACTCAAGACGACATATTGTTGGTACGATTAGTATTTTTTGTTATTTCATCGGCGAAAGCGATAACGGGGATCAAACTCGAGCCAAATTTGCGATTAGTATTAGGTAAATGAACTATTACTCAAGTAAATGGGGGTCAAAATCAAGGAAATCGGCGAAAAACTCAATAACTTTCTTTTTATTAACTTAAATACAGAAATATTTTTTATTCGTCTCATTAAAAGAACCAATCGATTATTGATTGTATTTCTTTTCAGAAACTTTTATGCCCTATGCATATTACTGCCTAATCTACGGGATACCTATGGATCTCATGCCGTAAACTGGTTACCTACTCCCTCTATGGGAGGCTAGTCATCATCATCGTCTTCATGTTCTACAGCTATATGCGTTTGTCGTATTTGTATACAATCGTAACCATTTCATGTTAGGTTTTTCAAATGCTTTCCGGCCAATTATCGTTTTACTATCAGTGCCATACAATTCAGAACCGGTAATTACTATTTACTTCCTTCCTTTTTTGAGCATAATAAACAAATTTAAAATATCCGCATGCGGCGTACATTGCATTATGATCGCTCCCTGAGACCACAAAATATAAACGGAAGGAGGCATTTTTAAGAGTGTGCGGGGGTTCACTTTTGTAGAAGGACAGTCGCTGGCATCACAAGGAAGAAGGACTTTGTACCCGCGCCGAAAACACGAGACTACAGGGGCGAATGATAAACCAGAAATCGCCTTTCTCAAGGGATACACAATTTACGAGAACGTAGCAACGTCTAACATCACTGTCTCGAGCTCTCTTCAGTAAAACGTGACCTCCGAAAACGTGAGCAGTGGGTATCACAGGGGCTAGGCCGAAGAGCTTTGCGTCAAGAAGTAGGGAGCTGTGTTCTTTGGTGTTCGTCAACTTTGTTGTCGGATGCGCTCAGGCACTTGATTTCAGCTGAATCTCGTAGTGATGTTTGGCTGCGTGCTTTCCATACGTAACAATTTTCGGGACCCATCTTTTGTACCAGTCAATGTTTTCGGCCTCTTAAACGTTCGATAGAACTGAAACACCATGAGAGGTTAAATGTTTAATTCTAAGAGAATTCAATTTGTACAGCTAATAGCCTGACATTGTTCACTTCTGAGGTGTCAACACTTTGAAGAGCCATTTATTCACGAAGATCCTTCATCTGCCGTGGATATTCTGAAGTACTTCTTCATTGGGTGACTGAGGGGGTCTACTTCTTCGTTCGAGTTTGTGCCTGCCACGTGGATATCTATCTTACGCGACCAATATACTCGAGATACCTCAAGTACCAACTATTAGATAAGAAATGTTTATCCAATGGTAGTAACGCAGTTACGTCCAGGAAATGATTGAACACTTCATTGTGAGGGCAGTGGAGAGGACGATCGATTGAAGAATGGATGTCTCGCGTTCCCGCACTCTTCTTACATAGCGTGCTTTCCCGTGCGGGAACAGTAATACGGGTTACCGTCACTTGCACCATTTGGGATCCCTTCCGTCGCGGCTGTGTGAAGAATTACTGAAGCGATGATGATGGTCGTGAGTTTCGAACGACATGCCGCGTGGTGATCGACGAGACAACTAGCTAAGAATTGCCGCGCGTTCAACGTTTTGAATTCCTCCATTGGCTTTTTGAAGTGCAAACGAGCATGTCATGAAAATGATGCTGATGGTCTTCTAGCCAGATGCGGTGAGGTTATACTAAAACAAAATAAACATGCGTATCAGGAAAGGTAATCGAGTATGGTTACTAATTGTTATCGTACTACCTTCAAACGGTTGTTTCAACCTATTCAAATAGTTTTCCAACTATCTTACGATGTGTGTACCCGACAAGTGAGTTAATAATTCACTAAAACCATACTAGTTGTTAAGATTGCAATGAAAATGTTGTAATTATGGAGAAGTGAAGTGGAAGTAATGTTAGGAGTGATGTTGGGAGGTCCCCAGCCTCTTTCAAGCTGACCGATACTCTTTGAAGTCTGTTCGAAGGGGTTTTCATATGAAACGATGGTGACAAAGGACTCCATACGCGCTCACCCACCCTCTCAAAACATCAGTCACTGTAGTCCTTGAACTGTTCAAACTAATCTGGCAGGGTGTGAATCCTGTCACCTTAGCAATACGCTTACGAAAGTTTTATAGGAGTTCGAGGACTTACACCCACAAACCTCAACGCAGAAGTATGTTGGCCTAACTTACCTACCATATCATATCACCACTACCACATCAAATCAACACGAGTTTTCATTTTCTTATGATATCTAACAAGCACGGTCGATTTTGAATGTGGCTTTTCATGGACAGAATGCTCTCAGAAACCCTCCCCTAATCCCTCTCACCCCAACTGAGCGGAAATTTTGCGCACAGCGCACTTTACAGAGTTGCTGGCCAGTTCGCTTACCTGTAGTCACAAAACTGTAGAAGAGTTGTAGTGAGTTCAAGGTCGTACAGAGGTTAGCAAAAATCAGGGCAAAGGGGTTTGNATCTAACAAGCACGGTCGATTTTGAATGTGGCTTTTCATGGACAGAATGCTCTCAGAAACCCTCCTCTAATCCCTCTCACCCCATCTGAGTGGAAATTTTGTGCACAGCGCACTTTACAGAGTTGCTGGCCAGTTCGCTTACCTGTAGTCACAAAACTGTAGGAGAGTTGTAGTGAGTTCAAGGTCGGACAGAGGTTAGCAAAAATCAGGGCAAAGGGGTTTGCTAGCCCCACCGCTATCCACTTGAGATGTGGTCGAACCTTGAATCTCAGGTAATCCGGAGGGTTTGGGTTTTAAATCAACTGATGCTGCTCCAAAAGAAGCACCCACATCAAGTAAATGTGATTGAACTCTTCCACAGATACGTTTTCATAGACTGGCCACGACTTTCCTTTTGAGATAATAACTGCCCTAAACGAGGATGATATTCCAGTCGGTAATCATTTGACATGCTAGAAACCTTGTTTAAACAGTGAGCATAGGTGTTGCCTTTGAGAACGACAGGCAATATTGGGTTGTTCCTATCAGATGAAATCGATGGAAGCACTGAAGATGAGCCTGAAAGTGGGCGTAGCCCAGAGAATGAACAGGAAGGCGAAGGTGACTACGGAGAACCTGAAGAAGTCTTACCTCGAACACCACGAGCTGCTGATCTTAATCAACTTATTGATCCAAGCTTCAAAGTGGCCAGATCCTCACAGAATGCCGCTGTTGTTGTAAGTTTGTATGAGATTTTCACCCGGATTTGGCCATGAAATTCTCGTGTTGATTAAAATATCTATTGATTTTGCGGGCTTGCGGGTGCAACCAATTGCAGCGAGGATCTGAGGGAACTGTTTCAATGCATGACTATATAACGCAATGACTCTGGTGCACTACTTCTTTTTATTCTGTGGCATGCAAGTGCACAGTAGAGGAGAAATTAGTAATATGCCAAGAAAGTATGCGACATTAGGTCCAGTTCTGAGCATGGAAGCTACTAAGAACGTCGCTGTATTTCCCTAGCATTTCCCATACTCAGTTCACAGCTGCAAAATAAAGCAGGGCACTCCAAAAACGAATTGACTGGGAGCGTGTTCCTAGACCATACGAGAAATTTCTGCTCCACACCCAAAAAATTGCTTGTTAGTACTTTTCAAGATTAGTCTCAATCTTACAGGTAGAGCAGTGGGTTAACCGAGCACTCGACATGGGTGTACGTGGACTTGTCGACGAATTCCGTTCAAGCCTGGCCAGATGGCAACCAGAGACTATGACTACAGTGGCTTATCAAGCGAACACTGACAAAAACAGGTACAGCTCATTCGGCGACGTTTTACAATGCACTGAGCAATTGAATGACCTGCTGAACATGAAGGAAGCATATGAACAGTAGGCACGGTACGCTCTCCTAGGATCCTGATTGAAGGGAGGCCTCCCATCAGTTGGGAATGAGTAGTGACCTTGCAGTCATCTTGTTGGTTCTCCTTCCTTAAAATGTCAGATTCACGCGAAAGGCAAATAGCTCCGGGCAAGACTTGCTTTCACCGTTGGAACTCCCAAACCGAATTCCGCATAAGTCAATCGCACTCCCCACCGAAAGGAGTAGTACCGTGTAATGAGCCATCTGTGGAACACGGAATTGTTAGTCTACAAGCAGGATATCCTCAGGCAGCTACCTGAACCGAACAACTCTCTGGTCTTTACTGTGTTAAGCAAAGTAGAGTTCATTCGCATCCCCGATAGGGTTGAATTGCACCACTGTATTCTGCTGGAATCCTTTTCAACCTTGTAAACAGTCCGAATGGTGGTATCAACAGAATACAGCGAATCTGATTTCTTTAGATATCTCGATGTCCCATGTCAAGATTATCGTCGGGTGATCCTGAACTGGCCAGGCCTTCCAAACGACTATATACATGCTAACTATGTCGCCAATCCAACTCAAGATCGTCGATTCATTTGTGCCCAGGTAGCCATTCTGTATCGAACTCATCACTATCTACTTTTCTTCATCGTAATGTGATTTTGGTTGTTAAAGGGACCATTGGAAAGCACCCAATTGGCGTTTTGGGCTATGGTCATACAGGAAGGATGTGAAGCTATCATTATGCTATGCAACACTGTCGAATGTGTAGGTTCTCCATTCAATTCCAGCTGGATACGGCAAGCTAATTGCTCGCTGTAAGGTTTGGCAGATTAAAGGCCTTCAACTCGCAGTAAAGCTCAGTTTTCGTGCCTATTTCATGAATTTGATTAAAGTTTCCCTAACAAATCTTCTGCTTTGTCTGAATAGGCTCTAGTGGAGATTGAAGGCTGACTTTGTAGTAGCTGAGCTTACATTAATCACCTAATTCTATTCAGGGAAAGTTTAAATGCTCTCAGTATTGGCCACGTGAGAAAGGTGAAGTATTAACCTTCGGAGAAGGTAATGGGAAGATAACAATAACTAATCTAGACGTAAGTCTTTGTCGAGTCGTTATTCTGACGTTCGGGTGGAAGTACCGGGGTGCCAAGTGTTTCGAGGAACCAACCTTGGATGAGTAGGGAAGCCTATCTCCTGAGCGAACACTCGCTCTAAAACATTTCTTTGGTCATCTAAACCTGATTGCGTGACCCACCTTTGAGCACAAGGACTGGTTATGCCGTGCATATATCCAGAAGGGTGGGTTTTTTGGGCTTTCGACTTTGTGTACCATTGTGAGTAGATGTGCTATACTGAGGAGTGGCGCAAGCGCACACGAGGCTTCTGGATAGAGTCCTGGATCAGTTCTCCCCAGGCCGACGAAGCAGTATACTGCTCCAGGTTGTCAAAATGGTAACAGGTTCTTCCGGAAGGCTGAATGCCCTGACATGTAGACCAGCTGGCCACCACAAGTCATTCTATAGGCCACATACGCACTCAGAACGTCACTATGATCCCGATTAGAATGCGAATGCGCCGGTGCATCCGGAAGACATGGCCTATTAACTCCAGAGACTTTTCTTTATATTTCATTTACTGACGGGAACCTATCTCTTAACCTTTTTCAGGTTCGGCCACTGTCAGCAGAAGATAGCTTTGTGAGGGTGTGTCAACTGAAGCTAGACTTTTTGAAAAATGGGCAACCAGCTAGTCAGATTGTTCGACATTATCAGTGGGAAAACTGGCCTGATCGAGGTGTGCCACCTACACGGCTTACTGCTACGGTAAGTTCAGCGTTATCCTCAATGGAGAGAATCTGATCAATTTGACCACTTTTTTCTTCCAGAATATACTCTCGGAAGTTCGAGGTACGACAAAACCGATCTTGGTGCATTGTTCAGCCGGCATAGGACGAACCGGCTCGATTGTGGCAATCGCCTACGTACAAGAAAAAATGCAGCACGGGGTAGTACTTGCATCCAGCTTTCTACTCAATTTTACACAAATATTTATGAACTAAGTTGCAAGCCAAGTTAGCGTAAATGTTGATTTTTCAAGAAGAATTGTATGAATATGGATGCGTTGACGAAGGAATTGCGGACACAACGGCCATTTTCAATTCAGAATGAAATGGTTTGTTGCTTGTTCTGTACTTCCTTCATATCTTTTCGTTTACAGCTATTAAATATAAAATCACCTAATAATTACTCCGTCAGGCGCTCTGTCTTGCTTCATTGCGACTTTTTGCACTTTCCTCTTAGAGTAATGCCCTCGACGACTTCGAATAAGCATTTATACTTCTTCTACTACTCCACGCACTTCACGTTCAAACTAGAGAAGTGAAGGATGAGCATACAGCTTTCGACCTTCACCAATCTCGTCTCTGGGATGCAGCACCTGAGGTCTCCCCATCTTTCGACTTCCATTCAAAGTCGCAGTGGTGGTTTGAGTCAGTATGTAGATATGTAATAAGATGTCTTGCGGTGATCATCCCAACGAACTCTGTACCAGTGACCCGATCCCGGAGAAACGGAAGGATGAGCAGGGGGTAATAGGCTTGGTTGCCCAGGCCAGGCTCGATCCGGACCATGCGTACGCTACATTGCGCCATAACACCATCTCCTCTCTAAGCTGAAAAATGGGTTCCTCAAAAACTAAACCTGACATCCATTTTTCATGACGACATCGGTGCTGAACACATCATATTACAGCAGTATATCTACGTACACCGTGTATTGTTGGCTTATTTTCTCGAAAAATACCGTGAGCGGTTCCAACACATTCTTAATGGGGAAGGAGAAGCCAAGTACGCGAAATGGCTACAGGACTACAAAGCGATCACCGGTTGTGATTAAATATGTGATGTTATAATTAATTTTATTAATCGTATAAATTATTATCCGATCTTGTTTGAGTCGAGAAATCCTCAAGATCTCTGGTAAAGGACGAACTCTCAGGAAGTAATGACTGAGACAAATTTGTCAGCCGAAACGTTGGTGGCAAAAAGTTATAGAAACTTAAAACGCCATGGAAATCTTGGATTAAAAAAACGACGCTTGTGCGGTACGATTCGAAGTCGAGGAGTTCTTCAAGTTGGTCCTTTCCTCATGGGGACTGTTTGAATGTGCATAAACACGAATCGAGAGGCGTAATCTATGAGTGGGGCGGGACTTGTGTGTTGGCATTCTATGTTCTGCACTGTGCTCATTGTCTTGATAGGGCTGTGAAGTGATATTGGCAAAAACGAATTTGATCAGAAACGAGCCGGGAATCATGTGCTTTACGGAAATGTAGCTCCATCTATGTCAGCAGAAAGGCTTTTCCTGTAAACAGGGGACACAATATGTACCTTGTGATTGGAAGGAATATTTCGCTTTGAGGATGGTTAACAAGGTTTTCTATTAACTCGAATCTTTGGTTACTGAGAAGGCCAGATGGGGCGTTGTCAGGTCGGAAAGCGGTAGAATTAGGGCGTAATCGTGGCTCTGAAACCGGTTTTGTACACACTATCAATGAGTACCGATACTAATGAGCGGAAACGAAAGTTAGGTGGCCTTGTGTGTCTAATGGCGAAGGTTCGGATAAGTTTGTCAGCTTCGAGCTCATAAGTTGAAATCATGGGAGGCTGTTTCATTCTGCTTCAATGGGGATGCTTAGGGGCTTGGGGCCTGCGGTTGGGCCAGACTATACCGGATCAGAAACCAAGACGTCAGGGCGGTCACATTGAACAGCTCGTGTCCAGCTGAAGATGAGAAAGGCAGCCCTTACCTCTGCTTTAGAATATTCTGATCGATTCCGCAGGCGGTCTAGTTATTCGAAGTCAAACTTGGTCGTTCCCCCTTGAGCTCAACCAAATAATCTGAAAAACATTCGAAAGCTTCTCGTTGTTCCTCATCTTACAAGAATGGCGTAGTGTACATTATTCTGGTCTCTGCCATCCACAGGTTGAAAAACGCAATAGCCACAGGTTAACCGAGGGATTTGCAGAAAAAATTAGAGGAATTCTCTCAAAGAGATTCTATTCTAGTAACCCATCTCTGTAACTTGTTCCTGAAGGTTTCCAACTAGTTATTTTGAAGAAATCACTGAAATAAATACTCTTCGAATATGATTAGAATGGTGAAAAGCACTTTAAATCCAATTTTCACTAAAAACGTTCGACCTGCGCTAAATATTTTATTCTTCTACAACACATTGCTTCCGATAGAATATCCGCTCTTCCTTCGGTGGCAAGTGGTTTTCAAGGTTTTTGCCTTTTGTTTCCGGTAATAGGGCTTGAAAGGCGATGCAGTCGATAATGGATACGACGAGGAGCACGACATAAGGGATCACCGGGTGGATATCAACCTGAAAAATTTGTTTTCAATCAGCAGAATTTCTAACACTACATACGGGGTACGGTATGAGGTAATAGTAGACTACTTGTGGCGCTCTCATACTGGTCCAGGGATAGACAGATAGAGTTCAGGGTGAAAAATAAATCTCAAGTGTGAAACGTCAGAGAGACTAGGAAAACTATGTGCAGTGGGAGGGGTGCAACTTTGGGATGCACTATTGGCAAGGGTGCAGCAATGGAATGCACCATACACATCTAAGGGTGCAACATCGAGTTTCATCACCTATGCGTGTGTTACTTACTGGCAAATTTTTGTGGCGACATTTCAGGAGCAGAAGCGATCGTATGAGTAATGGTCAACACCCGTGGTTCAGAGGAAAAAACATAAAAAGTCGTGATCCCTTTCCCTTACGTACAGAGAAGGAGGGCTACAGTTTTTACAAACGTTAATCCACTATGGGCAGCAGTACTGATCCGCAGCGTGACATTTTTTTGCCTTCAGTCGCGTTTACACTTCAAATCATCCAACCCCTCCCGCGGGCGATCGATTTCTTTGAAGGGAACCTGCTGCTAGTAGCAGGAAGTGAGCTGATCTTAGTAGCAGTGACGATTGACAACATCATTTTCTTTTAACGATGTCTCAATTATCTCAGAAAAAGTGATTTTCTGGTCCTGGAGATGGAGATAAGCCACAGCGTCAATTAGAAAAAGGTAGTGGGACATCAGTACCAAAGAGAAAATGTCATGGGTAATATAGAGCCGAAAGTGGACATGAATGGAGTACTGATTCAGCCCTTCTGAGCTATACTTCAACTTAGGTCATCGCGACTTACCAAATAGAACAATTGTGGGGCAAAAATGGTGCCCAAACGACTTGATACAGCCAATGCCGAGGCGGCGATGTTTCGGACGGCAGTAGGGAATAGTTCACTTGTGATAATAAACTTTGCGATATACAACTGAAATAGAATACAGCTTTTTGGGCTTGAGTGGCTTTCGTGGATTTGTAGCCTACCTGACTGGTCATTGAAGTAATTAGTATGGTACAGTATCGAATCACCCATGAGCGGTCGAATTGATGGTCTGAAATATGATTATCATCAAGAGTCGGCTATCAGTTACGGTAGGAGTGCAATACCTTCTAAGTATGTGGCGCAGATAATCGCCAGGGCACCAATGATAGAAGTGATGGCAACAAAGTGGACGAGTTTTCTTCCGACACATCGGCAAAAATAATCACTAGCGCCGACTAAAATATTGATTGCCCATCTGATCACCTGAAATAAATCCAATCTTAAAGTCTGATAGCTGTGAGCAGATAGGACATACTCCGAAGAGGGTGTTGTTCCAGTACAGTGATCCTGAGAGCTTTTCCATATTGAATAGGAGACCGTAATTGACCAACGACGCAAAGATTCTTCAAAAATATTCAAAAATGATCGGAAAAATAGAAACTTGGTTTTTAAATATATTTCTGAAGAACTGAATTAGAACAACGAACAAATTGTTTTCAAAAACAAGCAATNTGTTCCAGTACAGTGATCCTGAGAGCTTTTCCATATTGAATAGGAGACCGTAATTGACCAGCGACGCGAAGATTCTTCAAAAATAAACAAAAATAATCGGAAAAATAGAAAACTTGGTTTCTAAATATATTTCTGAAGGACTGAGTTAGAACAACGAACAAATTGTTTTCAAAAACAAGCAATGAGGACTCACAGGCCGGAACAAAGTGTTACGCTCCATCGGAAGTACTTCCATGTACAAACCAAATGGTAGAATGTATAGTTCTTGCTTTTCTTCTGCTTAGTTATGAAGGTCTAAACGAATAGTCGATTTTGAATATCCGAACATTCCAATACCACTTAATAAAAGGTTTCGAAAATATTTAGACTATTTTTTTGTTTTTTTTTCCTATTAAAAGAGGTCCTTTATCCATTATCACACTTGCTTCAGAAGAGCAAAATTTTGAGACGGATAATTTATTGCTTGTTATTGTTGCTTTCTTCACCGCCTAGAAGGCACAGCTCACTATGTTTTTTGAGCCGTTTGGTTTCAAAGAATAATAGAAGTAGTAATTCAAATCAGTGCAAAAAGAGCGAAGAAAACGAGGAAATTGAAATTTGTAATTGAATGGGAGTAGTACAAGATCAGAAATAGTATGTAGTAAAATAGGAGTAGGACGAGTTCAACTGACAAAAGTCTCGTGGAAGAGGTATATGGACAAGCCGCCAAAATGTGTTTGTCCGTGCACACAGTTGGCTACAGTAGCCCTGCATGCAACGTGTGGGTCTCGGTGCGAAGGTGTAATCTTTACAGCCTCTACAATGCCGTGAAAACTCGTCCGCTTTGGTGTGCGTCAGTCAAACAATGTTTTTGAAGCCCTAATTACGCACCATTTAAGCCAATTTTCGATCTGACAACATTCCTTGTGATATTTAAAAGGGATGCAGGTCCATCCTATTTCAGGAAGCATTTTGGAACTGTGCTTTCGAAGGTAGATCTGAAAATTTGGCTTGCCACGTCTATCTATACATAGACAAGCTCCCTGCTGTATCTGGAATCGTAGTCAAAAGCCGGAAAGGTTCTGCTCCATCGAAGGCCTGTCAGAATATGTTCAATGCTGATATACACTGTACCATTGATTAGATATTGATTTTTTATACTTTTTTGTTGAAACATTCAAAAAGGGTAAAGTAATACAGAACTATTGGAAGAGATGAATAAAAATATGTGAAGGCATAAGCCGTAGCTCACTTCATGCTCATTCTTGAGCATTTCTTCAATTTCAGCTGCCTCCTTCTCACACGTATTTCCGTTCATCCGCCTGATACTCGCTAGAACTCTACGGGCTTCTTCGATGCGTCCATGTTGAATCAACCATCGAGGGCTTTCGTGAAGACAGCTGTAAGTGGAAAGGGTGATTTCTTTGACTACAAGGGATAGTTAAGTAACTTACAGAAGATTGATTATTGTTAGAATAGATATGACAAAGCTGAACATTGATAGTTTGCGCCAGTCATGACAAAAATAGGCGATAATCGGATAGATGATGAAGTTCGGTGACCATGTTACCACGGTATTTATCCACATCCGATGATGTTTTGGAATGTTCTCGATCAGGTAGACTCCGAGGACCCTAAAAAGACTTTTCAAAGACTAAAATCTTTTGGTGCCGACCAATATTACTTTAGGATGCGCCCTATCATTTGGCTTCCATTCAAAATCGCAGGGGAATTTTTAAATGTAGATGTGACTCATGCAGTGATTTACGTGGCCAGCCGATCTAAAAGTCAGTGCTTATATTCTCCCAGACAAGCGTGGAGCCAGCTAACCGAGCCTGGAATGATGGAAGGCTCACTTTGCCTGGGTGAATTTGATTAAATTCAATCACCAGGCCATGCATGTGTGATGGTGCGCCTTTTGCCACTACACCACCTTCACCTTTCACTTTCTATAACAATATTTTCGAACTATTCAGTTGCTTAATCCGAACTTACGAGGCGAGACCACCGGTGAAAACTCCTGCAATGGCTCGAAGAATATTGAACTGTAGGAATGTTCCTGATAATGCCGTGGCCAGTGAAAAGAGGCCTACACCAAAAAGAGATGAAATAAGGATCTGAAAGTATAAACGCAGGTAATCCCTGACTACTATTTCGGATTTTCAAAATGCGAATACTCGGCTCTATACGTTACCTTTTTTCTTCCGTATCGGTCACTGAGCGGACCACTTATCAGTGATCCAGCGAGCACACTGAACATTTGAAGAGATATACTGTTTTTCACTGATTTACCAGCTTCACAAAGGAGATCAAACTGAAAAAAGCATCACTCGAGCTGAACGAACCCATTTATAGTGGGGGAGCCAGTTTGGGTACCGATCAAGCCAGCAGGAACTTTTAACCTTGGACGAGACTCGAACTTACTTATACTCTTCCATCCCCGTGCTCTTTATCCCTTACACTTTCAAGACTTTTTGATGCTCGTCTGAGGCCAGGTTCTGCTCATAACCTGTCAACCTTGTGATGGCTTCCTCGTTTTTGGACTATCAGCCTCCTGTCTACCTCAGCAAGCTCACTAGAAGTGAATAATTTTTCAGTCACAGCCTAAGCAAGCGACAGATAAGGATGTAAGGTGATTCGCTCTTCATCAATTTCGTTGGTTATATCAGAAGTTGACAAGATGAAAAAAAGATTTACATCTCCCTGATAAAAGGAAAAAAGAAAGAAAAGCCAAGTTTTTTTTTCCACCTTATCGAATCGAACATTTACGAGCCAATGAGTCATAAATAGTGTTGGCTTAAGCATAGATCATTTTTTATATCTTACACCGAAAAAGTAGATGCCCTATGAAGGACTAGAATAGTTGCATGAAATTCCGCACTATGATGGATCTGCGGTCTTCAAAGATCAAATCACAATCGCAAATTAACGGTTTGAAAAGCTGCGTAGATATTATGCAATGAAAACTCCAAAATATTCTCATCGTATACCACGCCAAGAAGTGGCCGTATTTTAGCAGCATTGTTGAGGCTACCTCATTTAGAACGGAAGACATATGTTGGAAATCTGAACAGCTGATCGTCTGGGTCATGACCCATGCAGTAAAGAATTCCTAGCAATTCTTGCTTGCTGTGCTAGCACGTGATTCAGTTGCCCCTTCCATGCCTCCTGCGCATAATCTACATATCTACATAATCTTGTTCGATCCTAACAACTCCTCAGAATTTCACCGTGCATTTCCTCTCGGGATAGTGATTATACCACCTTCCGAAGTAAGGTCGCAAATGACTTGGACGGGATCTTCTTCTTGGGTTGCTAGTTAGGTGGGTGGTTTGTTGCAGTTACCTATCCGCTAGATTGCCCGTGCTATTTGAAAATACCCCAAAAATTACGTAAAGACTCCAAGACTGGAAAACACTTACATCAACGTTTACTGACTGGAACTGATATTCCAATTCAGGTACACAACCGGTGCTCTCTCTTAAAGAAGTCAAGCTCAAGCATGCTTCTTCGGTATTGTTAAAGTGGACTGATCCGCAACTGAGGATTGTTGGGTGAGCACCTGAAGACATCAAAATTAGGATTCCCTCATCTGATTGCTACCTACAGGAGGTTGTTAACGAATGAAACTCATCAGATTTCCACCCTTGTAAAGTGGGTCCCGCCTGACTACACAACCTTTAGAGATGCAAAGAAAATGGTTGGAAAGCAAATACAAAGGAGTGTCTAACTAACCAGCATATACCATATAAACCATACTGGCCAGTGTTGTCAACGTCATGGACTCTGCTGCCAGCAGTACAATTGAACAATACCATCCTAGTGTTATGAAGTCGTCTAAGTTTTTGACCTGAACATTTGCTGAATGAGTTCGAGAATACCCTAGAAATAGAAGTTGAAGCAAAAAAATGGAATAGCCTAGTGGCGATTACGATCTTCTAGATGAGCCATGTATGATACTTTACTCTTTTGTTTTCGAGTGATTTCAAGTGACTGGTACTGGTTAATAAATATCTTGACGACAACCTATGTTTAACTTTGAAGGTTTTCTTCGCGAAATAAGAGAAGGTGAAATGTACAAATCCCCGGCTACATTGAACGCCATTTTCACTCAGTTACAGTAGGATTTTCGATATGGAGCGATTTTCGATATAAACTTACTGATTTCTGAGCTCTCAGTTGTGGTTTCCTGATAATACAACAATATCGGCAGAGGCACCTCTGTTATCTATAACTTTTTTTCGAAGACAGAAGCTCAAACTCCTGTTTAGAATTTCTATCGCCCCTCGCCTACCAATATTTGCCTACCGGAGTGGGAATACGTGCAAATTATGTGAATTCTTTAACATGAGTGAAAAAACCGGGAAGAGGGTTACACCAGAGATGTTTAGTGAACGTGCGGTGCTTAGGGGTATCTCCACGGTTAGTCACCGTTAGTTAGATGGACACAAACGTGACTAAATGGGTGGTCTGCGGACACAGAGAGTATAGTTCACCATCCGACGGTCGTTTCTCCACTACGAACCGAGTTTTTTGAGAACTATCACCGTAAATGGTAGAAGGAATGAACATGAGCCCATCGAATCCCGAAAAATCAGAAGAAATGAAGGTCCGGATGGTCTGGACGGGTATCCTTCTGGAAGTCCGCTCCCGGCCAGTGGACGTAGTAATGCACCACTTGGCACTATAAGTAATGAAAGATATTTAGTTATTCAACAAATCCCTGATTAAATGTCGTAACAGTGAAAAAATCTAGATAGTAACAGAAACTTTGATCACGTTATGATAATCTCAAATAGAAAAATGATTGAGGATTCATGAAAAACCGATTGGGATGCAAAATAGGCTTGGTTCATACGAGATTCTGGAGCCAATGCTCTCAGCAGGACAGTCTCAGCTACATATTGCCTTATAAGAACTTGTTCAACACATACAACAATCAAAAATAAAGGAGAAATTCCATGAAAGACCAATTTCCCCAATGAACCATGCGATAATGATCTTTGGGCCTACGTTTCAAGCATCACTCTGAGGGCATGAAAATGAACACTTCAGAGGAATGGCTCTTCAAAATCGGAACCTTTAAACAGGACGCATAGTTCACCAGAAGTGAAAGAAATCGGACCACGTACAACACCATTCATAGGGTCCTGAACGGGTGGGCAGGTAGGGGACAATAAATCAAGAAAATTCATGATATGTCGAAGAAAGCACAAGAATAGTCCAGTATTATCCGATCTCATACTCCTGACCTATAGTCTGCTGAACATTTTGAAGGAAAAGATAGAAAGGTATACGAAGTTCTTCTACATATATGTATATTTCAATGATCACGGTATTCTAGTGGGACAAAAGATGAAGATAAAATAAAGAATAAATTAGTGTATTTGATGATATCCAGTTATCTCCGCTGATCAATACCAGCACAGAAAGGGCCACTGGTTGGGCATCTACTTAGAATAGTGGCTAAGATTTAACGATTGTTTCACTTACGCGGGGATTTGTGGTGGCCATGCAGGAAGCAGATCGGCGCCAGTGATCTTTTCAGAGAAATCCTATAACAATTAACCGGTTCTAAGGGACGGAATGCTCTCATAGCCTTTCAAAGAGAGTTCCAAAGAGAATGCTCTCATAGCCTACCGAAGAGTTTCTGAGTTTTGAACCACCTAGAAGTTAACCCAAAGCAGTTCATGCATAATTCTCACGAATGGCTATTTCATTTGTAAGTAAGAATCCCAAAACACACTGCGTTCTCAAGAAGAAAAGCTCGAGCACGACCTTCCCCTTCCCGCTGCTGTGAGCGATTAGTAACAGTATGTAACATAAGTTACAGTTTGTTGTTGTTTTGTTTATCATCTTGTTTATGTTTCTAGCAGCCTATATCTACATTTGTAGCTAAAAAGCTACACAATTTTGAAGCTTTTTCCAGTACCTGTTTGTTCTCCTCAGCTGGTAAACAAGGTCCCTGCTCTTCGACGTTATCAGCAGATAGCATGCGTACTTTTTGAACAGTTCTACTATAAATATTCCTGAAAAAATTGATAAAGAAAAACCTCGTAGACGAAAAAATCCCGCTCAGAAATCTGAAGTTGAAATCAAACAGACTCCTCACCATCACAAAAACAAAAAAAAAACAACGGGTGCTTGTGCTAAGTCTTGATAACGAAGGTATAGTAAGAACTCCTATGGCACCGATAGTACTCGATCAGCAAATCAATAAGTAAACAAAAGTAGGCAGAAGATTATAGTAAGCTTAAGTCTCAGACAAAAGCCTTCTAGTGTTGATCAACCCCATTTTAGAGTGCGCCCTGCATACGATATTCATTCAGGATGGTAGCTGTGATTGAATGCGCCTTGGCCTAATGTTTTGAGGTGGACAGCCGATGTACAGGCCACCTACCTTACCCCATCAACGAGTCTGATACTGGCTAACGGGCCACAAGGGGACAATTTGGACTTACTCATGACGGTGTGGCTATGGGTGCTCGT